GCAGAGAGACGCACACAGACAGGCCTACAGCGAGAGAAGCAGAGAGCGAGCCACCTGCTTCTTGAGGGTCTTGAGGGCGGACTTGGAGGCCCGCCCGAGCTCGCAGCACAGGTTCCTCGACTGCGCCTTGTGCACCCCCAACGCTTGCAGCTCCGCGTCCAAGCCCGGGTCAAAGAACGACTCGGCCGGCAGGATCGGGTCCCCTCCCCTGCCCTCCTTAAGCTTACGGCTGAACTGCCACCGCTCGAACATCTCGTTCTTTACACGGATTCCGAGCTCCTTTCCGAGCACCTGCACGGCGGGGGAGGCATGGGGTAGGGCACCGTGTTCCGGAGGAACAAAGGCAACAGCGGGCACCGCTGGAGTGAGACTACCGCGGCTTGGTCTTGGGGTCTGCCAAAGCTAGACGCCCCGCGGCTGTGTGGGTTGGCCAGAGGGGACCGAATCCAAGGCAACGAACCTTGCCAACAGCAGGGCAAAAATGCGCTACGCAGCAGACACCAAGCACGAGGGAAGCTGATAGCACCCGACGGCGGCGCAGAGGGAAAGAGGAGGCGGCTTCGCCGCTCCTCGGTCTATCGTCGGGAGGAGACCGCTGGCGGGCAAAAAGATCAAACGAGTCTAATGTTTTCCTGGTCGCTGAACGTTCGGATCCAAACCCCGCACCTTTGCGGAGGCTTGCTTATATCATCAAGCCCCGAGCGCGCAGCATCACTCAAGGATTTCCTGGGGCTGCTCGGTCCATTGCGCCCCCTTCCCTGTCCCCCCAACTCTCGGAGCAACCTAAATAAGCTACCAGCTGCTGTAGGTGTGGCAGGCAGCAGACAAGAATCACAAACGGCTCTCATTTTCCTTCTTGCCTGAAACCTAGAGAAAACGATCGCGACGGCCTGCTGCCGCAAGACCTCCTCCTGCGGAGATACGACCCTCCTGAGCCCCTCCCCGGTTCGGCTAGCAACACCAAAAACAGTGGGGGCTGCGGCTGGCTCGAAGACGTGGGGGTTCCATATGGAGCTGTTCCAGCCCGTCTCGGGAACGCACGCGAACTCGCCCGCCGCCGGTGCCGGGTGTGTCCTTTCCGCACAAACATGACAGTAAATATTTGGTGTCAAGAGAGAGAGAGAGAGAGAGAGAGAGAGAGAGAGAGAGAGAGAGAGAGAGAGGGCGTCCTGTGGGGTAGAGGTATAGGTGGGACGAGCAAGGAAAAATGCGGCTCAGGGGTACGTTGCGATTCAGCAATGCTCCCCCACCCAAAAAAGGTGGGCAAGTCGTCAACCACCGAGGGTGGGCAGCCATCACATCACGCCTTGCATGTCGGATGGAGCGTAAGTCAGTTTGTCCTCTCATCCTTCCACGCGTCGATTTTGCCACGGGCATGCTATGGAGAGGGCGGGTGATGCTTATTCTCGTTGTGGTGGGAACAGCGCCGCGCACGCGCGGCTCTGCATCTCTGCATACATGGGAATGGGCACACCTTTATCCTGTACACACGGGACTGTCATGTTTTCTCGAGAGCGGGACGCCAAGAGAAACAAAAAATGCACCTCGTATCACGGCTGGTTTCTGCAGGAGTTGTTGCGTCTTGCTCGCCATTGTCTCCACCCATGATCCCAAGAAGCTCCAGCAGCTCATCATCTCCTCGTACCCTCGTCATGATGTGTCAAACCTCCTCTGCTGCTGTGCTGGAAAGCAGTTGTCTGTTGTGGTGGTCTGGTGGTGGGCGGTGGTGTGTATGCGACGGGTAGCCCCTACAGTCTATTGATTCTGCGTCACCCCCCGCCAAGGTGACACGCGCGTGATGGTGGTGATTATCAGTGATGTCTTTGTTGTCGGCAGGCCACAGAAGGCTGCAAGTCTGGAGTTGTGCTTGTCAGCAGCGAAATCCGCGGTAACTTCCTCTCGTTCGAGAGAGAGAAAGAGATATTTCGAGGGGAGACAGAAAGGACCAGGAAAGCAATCGAGCGGAGAGCTTCTTACACCGTCACGATCGAGCTCAACCTTCTTGACGCTTCCCCTCGCCTCTGATCTCTCCATCGCCGCCGGCGGCAGCGATTCGTCGCGTGTCTGCACCCGTTCTACATCACGCCTGCACCCTTGGGGGCGATGGGAGGATCGACGGGCAGACCGCGGGACTGCCGAAGACGAACAAGGCCATTCCGTAGAATAAGGGGCATGACCACCGGTGGTGACTGCAACGTTTGGAATCAACTTCATCGACGACGAGGAAGAAGACCTCCCGCAAATCATCTCCTCTTGGCGATGAGCTTGACCCTGATCCTCGCTCGCTCCGCTGCTGCTGCTGCTGTCGCTACCGGCGCTCGGGTTAGGGCTGGTGGAGGGGATGCCCCCGCTGTGCTAGCCCGAGCAACGCATGGCGAAAATGAAGCTGAAACAGCAGTGCGGGGGGGATCTCAAGGGAACGAGGGGATGCTGCTCGGTGCGGAAAGCATACGAAGGGTGCTTGTTGGCTGGGGAGATGGTGCCGGCAGGGGCGTGGAAGAGACCGAAGAGCAGCGAGAGAACCTGAGGTGAGAGGCCGCCGGACATTTTTGCGTGCATCAGCAGCCAAGCCGTGGAAGTGATTGATTTGATTTTTACTTCATTCCAGTGCATTGGGTAAGAATTTGAAACAGATCATTGTCATCATGTCCTGGTAGGCACATGCATACGCTCCTCCGCACAGAGTTCACACACAGCTGCGGCGGTGGGCGTGGCAGAAATGTTCTCAATTTACTTGCCGGAGCACCCCGCTACCCCGCTCACCGTGCTGAATCGAAGTTATGTCATTCTTATGGGATTTACACGAGTTACCGACGAAAGGCATTTTATATTTTGGCATTTCTATTTGTTTGTTTCCCGGTGCGTGGAAAAGAATGGTACCCTTGGAATAGAAGAAACAGTCATTTTTTTCTTCATTAAACCTCGGAATGGATACGCGTACCGTAGGTTGCGTAAAGTATCACACCCCCCTGGACCGACTTTCGGAGCCCGATTTTATCGACAGGAAAAGCAGGGAACGGTGCCGAAAATGGCGACGTTGGAACCGCCTCGTCGAGAGCTTTCCGAAATCATATCCTTTGGTTTCGGCATCCTATTGTTCGCGGAGCAATCGAGCCTTTGAAAATCGAAAATCGGTCCAGGTGGTGTAATATCGTGGCAACCTGTGCATACCTTGGAACATCGAACTGCGCTGCTGGCGGAGTGGAACCGCCAGCTTCGTCTGTCGTTGCTTGCCGCCGCGTATGTAGTAAAAGAGTTATGTAAAACTCGAAAAAATGCGTGAAACCAGTGGAAGAGCGCGGAAAGTGGATGAATCGAGTTTTATATCGGAGGGGACTTTTGGGCAAAAATGCATGAATCGTGAGCAAAAATTTGTTTGGGGCTCCAGAGCCCCAAGTATGTATTTGTGTTCCGAGACGAACAGACTGCTCTCTCTATCTCCCTCTCTCCCTCTCCTCTCTCCTCACTTTTGCAGCAAACATCACCGCCGTCACAACAGCAAAGACACAGCACACAGTCATAACAACGCCGCCACCACCGCCAGCCCCCAACCAAGCTTTCGGGCACTGCCCGGACGATTTTTTGTTGTGCTGCATGCGTACCAACGCGTACGTGAGGTTGCTGCATGCTGCTGCACCCTCTCTTTTCCCCCCTGCCCTCCTCTCTCGTCGTGCTCCTTTTTCTTTCTCGCTTTCTCTGGTGCCGCCATCGCACGCAAGCACAGACGAACGAACGAACAGACACAGTTCCGCAAGGCTCGCCGCGTAGCTTACGGGCTGCCCCGTTATTTTTGTGGGGGGGGGGGCCGCCCTCCCTAGTCGGCATGGCGGGGAGGTTGGAGGTTGTTGTTGCCGTTGATGCACAGGGTGTGCGTATATGCTTGTCAACGTGCCCGAGTGCCAACATACAGAGTATCAGGCAGCGTGGGTTGGGGGCGCTCTTGGCAGAGACGAACGCGCCTTGTCCGCTATTCGTTCACTACGTGTTCTTATTCGTATAACCTTGAAACAAGGCACTCTAATTTCGCTTGCTGCTTGTTTCCGGGTGATCAAATTTGGCTGCACCACAACGGCAGCCCACCTACCCACACCAGCTGTCCGAGGATGTATTGGCGCAGGCTAACAGTCCTGTGTTTTTATCCTGTGCAGATCTTTTCTCGAGTTTTATATCACGAAAATTTTTCACCAAAAATGTACAAAGCAGCGAAAGGCCCATAAAAGTCCCGCCGGTCCATGAATCGAGTTTTAAATAACTCTAGTACGCTTGGCATATATGTATCACCAAAATGTGTTGTTGAGTCAGTCAGTACCCACAGGGGCGGTAAATCACTACAGCAGTACTATCGCGTCATGTTGCTCGAGGAATCCGTTCTAATGACACAGCAGGCAGGTATCATTGGCATCCATATGAAACTCTAGATGATCATGTGTCTGTGTCCGGCGCTGGCTTACAGTACAGGCCTTTCGGCGTATGTGTGATATACCTGACGTATCAGCCGGGGTCACACAAGCGGAAGCTCACACAGGAGCTTTTTTCATATTCTCTATTTTTTGTTTATTTATTGCCCAACCTTTCCCCCTGCGGTGCTTGCCTTAGTGTTTGCCGCGAGAAGGGTTCAGCCATCCCTGTCCCTCGTCGCGACCGTGAAGCCGAATTTGTTTACTCACCACCTAGATCGCCTTCAACCACAGGTTGCTGGAGATAAATCCCGGGCAAAAATTCAAAATACCTCCTGCCGCTTGCAGATTGACCACTCTGGACCACTACTACATGTAGCTCGATATGTGGAGGGAAAATATCATACCTACAACACACTGGTTGCTAATGCCAGAATTATATTTCATGACAATTTTTTTCTCAAAACCGGGCCCATACGGTGTGTTTTATGTAGAGGGGTAGAGCCGGGTAGATACCCGTACTCCCACCAATCACATGTTGATTATGTAGGACATTGTGTACGACAGAGATACCTGATTGGGCGACTGGGCGATGGTCACGCCGCCGAGGGGGAATATCCCCCGAAAGACGGTAGCACAGCAGAGACAGCACATGACACACGTAGACAACACACGAGACAACCAGCACAGCAGCACGCGAGACTCCTGTGGACCAACGGCAGCCAAAGGCACACATTATACGAGGCGTCGGGTTCGACTGTCAGACCCGGGTGCCTGCTGTCGGTAGCACAGCAAGCGAGGGAGGCGACACAGGTCAAATCTGCTGCTGCTGCTGCTGTCATCTGCAGGCCGATCGTTTGAGCTTGACACAGAGAACCATCCCCAACACAGAGACAATGAGACGTATGCATAGATACTGCTGCAGGCCAAGGGCCGGCCAAAGGAACACATCATTAGAGGCATCGAGAGCGATTTTTGAAGCCCGTTGCCACTGCTACGAGCGTAAACGAGGGAAGGAAAGTGGTGCACATTGACACAGCAGCAGCAGCAGCAGCATGCAGCAACGGCAAGTAGCTTATTTTATGAGAGCTTCGTCCACACCACACAACACTTTCAGTCCTCCCCGGCTGCTACACAGCAGCAGTACTGCGTACGCGACCGACTGGTGGTGTCGGGTGAGGTGTGAGCGTGTGCAGTGGCAGTGATGGCCTCTGTGTGAGCTCCATCCGTGTCTATCTACGCCTGCGTCTCTATTTCCGCCCGCTCGTTTTCGCCCTTCCGCGCAACTTCGCGCGAAATATTTCAAGCAGCTTTTTTTTGTTGGGCCCCAATGTATGGGAGGTGAAATATTTTTCTAGACTCTTTTTTTTTTAGAAAGTAAAAATAATCTCACAGAAAGACTACCCGTTCCAGATATAAACCCAGTCTGTTTATGTTTTCTTTGTCGTCACTTCTACACAGCGCTCACAGCATTGTGCCGTTTGCTCCATCCCGTGGTCACACTAGAAGGGTTCCCTCATCCCCCTGAGGCCCCCGTACCCTCCCCGGCTGCGGTGCTTTGCCGTTAATTTTTGGGTGCGAGAAAAGTACAGCACTCTCTTTCTCCGCGTACACACGACCTAGACAGCGCTTTCCACCCGGGCCAGGAACGGAAGCGAGGGAAAACCTCACTTTGCAAGAAAAGCTCGCTTGCGCCGGGATTCGATTTCCTAACCCTGGCCACTAGAAGGTATTCAAGGATACCAACTAGTAAACCAGGACTCTTGCTGGACTTTTGGTTGTTTTGCGGACCCTTTGAATTTTGTTACTTTATCGGAGTGTTTGCCTTTTTTAGGGTAGGTTAGCCTGTGACCCACGGGAATCGACCGCGTCAGCGTCGCGTGTGCATACGGACAGAAGAAGGTACTCGGAAGAGAGACCGGAACGGTTTTAATGTGAAGACAACAACAACAACAACAACAACAACAACAACAATACTTCGTATCACGAAAGAAAGACACGCCAACTTCCAATCACCCCACACAGAGAGGAGGGCAAAGAGCACCTGACCCCTGACACTCAAACTGGACCAGGGGATAATAGGACCAGTAGCGGAGATCCCCTACATGAGGATACAAGCGCCCCACCGTCTTGTTCAGGACGATTCCCTCTTTTCACACAAGGCTTTGTGTGGGTTTGATGCCTTGCGCAAGGCGGGCACACTCAAGACACACAGATTACGGTTTCAGAATGAAGAAAATGACCGTATGAACCTACCGACGGAGAGCATGGCCTGCGTCATGACAACTGTAACCGGTGCGGCAGAGAGCCTGGAGTGGGAGGGTATACCATGATGCTACTATTTGTATTGGCGTCTCCGGTTCTGATTTTACGAGTACAGGATGATGGGGTTGTCCGAAAATTGCCGCAACACCCTCCAGCTGACGGCAGGGGATGCACCTGTGCGTCCACATCACCGTAGGCTCGTGTATTGTTGTAGACCGGTGTCGCCGAAAGCTCGAATCTTAAAATTTTTCCAAGGGGGCTCCGCGTTCCCGTTCTCCGCTGCGCGATGTTTCTCACTCCCCCGCCGCCGCCGCCGCCGCCGGTGTTTTTCCGGCATCGGGTATGCGGCAGGTTGGCGATGGGAATGTCAAACCCGATTGAAGAGGAGAAGGAGGAGGAGGTGGGAGAGATTTCAACGGCAAAGTGGGTCGCGGGCCCGGGACAAGGCGGAGCCGTCGCCGCCGTTGCCGACAAGAGTAACGGAGCGCTGGCCGGGGTGGCCGCGGCGGGTCCCGAGGGGGAGGCGTGGTTCGGCGCGCCTGGAGCCGGAGCTGAGGCTGCTGCTGCTGCTGCCGCCGCCGGCGGCGATCTGGACGTGGGCATGGGGAACGCTTTCGTCGCCGTGGGGGGGGCTTGGGATGGGAGTGACGTACAATTGGAGGTAGACCCGTGGACTTCATGTTTGTGACAATTTCGGGATTAGAATATTGCCGGCATATGCTCGGCTGCCACGGTTGGGAGTCGTCGTTGGCGAGACCGTCCTCCTGTCGGGGACCCCAAGACACTGGTGTACGTTAAGAGCTTTGGCGAATTTGGTTTCCGAGCGGTATGTGAACCCGTTCGGCTCGCAGCGTTTTTTTTTATTATTACACGCTCGACCACGAAAAAGTGGCGACCATCGCACAATATCCTGAACTCCCAACGTATGTCGGATGAGTAACGCACGTTTGCGCTCAATCGAGCAAGCGACGGAGGCTTTTAAACCAACAGGTAGCGGGACGATTGAGAAAAATACTCGTTTTTTTTTCTGTCCGTAAAACGCTGCTGCTGTGCTGTGTGGTGCTTTTTCTACCAACCGCCAGGCGCCCGCTCTTCGCCTCTTTGCGGGCTGAGGAGATACTGTACCGGTGTCACCCGCTAAGCGAAAAATTGCTGCACGGTGCGCGCATTGTTTGTTTTTTTTGTTCGTGATGTCTTCATTGTTGCCCGAACGAAAATTCAGGCGGCTAATGTCGCGGCGGCGGCGGCGGCGGCGGCCGTGAATCTCCGCGCCCCGGGTGTTGCCATGGACGGGGGGGGGAGAGAAGGATCAGCGCAAGACGGCGGGGGTGGCGGCGACGCTGATGGGGAAAGGGGGGGGGTCCCAGCCGAGATGGGGGCACGAGTCGTACACAGCGTCGGCCACGGAAAGAAGCTTGAGGGCCTCGCTGTTGATCTTGAGCACGGGCTCCACGACCAGGCTCATGCTGCCGCCGTAGCAGCGTTGGTAAGTCTTAAGTCTTTAAGTCTTAAGTCTTCCCTTGTCACCGTCGTTAAACGTGGTGGGTTGTCGTTGGTCCTCCCGTGTTTGTGTGTGTGCTGGTGTGAAGCTTTCGGGAACCGGGTTCGGCCGAAGCGGACACATATACCACAACCGCGGACTCAGCGACCGCCTACCGTTTTGTTGGAGTGCTGCTGTATGAACCGAACCGTACCCCATCGTCACCGGAAAATCTTGACATTGGCGCAGCCTTTCACGACAAATCATTTTTGCGTTGGGGATTTTCGAACACAGACCGCGAGGGGCCCAAATGAGCCGAGTTGTTTTTGTCATCTCATGTATTGAAGTGTATTTTGTTGGAATCGCAATACACCAAAAAACCAGGCGGCCGATGTCGCGGCTGCGGCCGCCAAACACGCGGGGGAAGAGGAAGAAGGCCCCGTGGTGGACCGCCTACAGGAGGACGGAAATGGGCAGGGGGCGGGGATGGCGGCGGTGCCGGTAGCGGTGGCGGTGCCGCCGCCAGATGACGCTGTCCGGGAGCAGATCATGTACCCTCAGCCGGCGACGAAGCCGCCCGCGCGCCCGGTGAAGCGGTGGATCAAGAGGGATCGACCCGCGGACAAGGGTGAAGGGGGCACAGAAGAGGGGAGAGAAGAAGAGCAGAGAGGGGGGCTAGGGCATGGGCGGCAGCAGCAGCAGGAGCAGCGGCAGGAGCCGCAGCAGGAGCAGCGGCAGGAGCAGCAGCAGCTGCAAAAAGATGGGGTTGAAAACCGCGCTGGGGATGCCTGGGAGAGGGGGGCGGACGGTAGAGGGTTTGGAGGAGAGAAGGAGGCCGACGGGGCTCAGGTAGGGGGTGGCGAACGTCCGGGGGGGACGATGCCCGGAGCGAGAGCAGGAGCAGCGGGGAACGAGACGGAGGCGAAGAGCCTCGTGGATGCGAAGGTGATGATTGTTGTTGGAGTCATGGCGTTGGGTGATTACTGCTCTGGGTGTCTTGTCTATCTTTGGAGCCTCGTGGATGCGAAGGCGATGCTTGTTGGAGTCATTATTTGGGTGGCTAAATACTGCTGTGGGTGGCTCGCCCATCTTTGGGTGGGTGCCTTTGTTTTCGATTAGCATCGACCGCGCTTTTCGGTAGATGAGATGAGTAAAAATGGGGTCGTCAGTCTGTCAGCGGGACTGTGAAACGCGACTTCGCCCTTCTAGTACGCCCTCCCCCAAGAGAAAGGAGGGCGGCGGCGGAGATTGGACGACAATCTCCAGTCTTCGGATGCAAGAGTGTAATGTGTGTGTTTAGTAGCATCGCATCGCCCGCGCTAACCCGATGGCCAATGAAACGACCACGTCAGTCTCAGTGCAGCGGAAAACAGAGATGGCTGCTAAAGGCCAGGATCTGGGACCCCGTATTGTACGTGCGTGTGTGTGTGTGTGTTTTTCTTAATATTTTGTGCTCGAAATACGCAGCCGTTAGAACGAGTGCCCCCCACCACAGGCGCACGGCGTAATTTGGGGTTATTACAGTGTCAGCCGCAGCTGCGGTAATTTTATTGCTTCTTGTCAGTGTGTCAGATTTTCATTTTGTACGTTCGATTTTCAAGGTTTGTTTTTTGGGGGGAGATGCATTGGATGGGGGGAACGCGGGCTTTGGTTTTGGCCGGCTGTTGGCATTCTTCACGACTCAATGCGAGTCTCTTTTAAGTGTTTTTCGTCCTCTCCATGGCGGCTCTGTGGCTGTGTGGGCCGGTGTTCCGTGCTTTGACATTGATAGCAATGTATTCGTGGCCATTTGAGTGCCGCCGAGGCTTGGGTGCGGCGGAATTGTGTGTGGCTGCTGTTGTCACTGGTGATGGTTGTGTCGACGTTGCTGCTGCTGCTGCGTACGCACACTTGGTGCGAAATTTCCAATGTTTTTGACCGACCAGGTATTTGTGATGGAAAATAACAGGTGGGCCTTGCCAGCCTGAGGACCATCGAGACGGAGGTGGAAAAGCATGTTGAAGAACTCCTCGGTCTCTTCTCCGCAGAGGCTCAAGGTGTGGCAAGAGGGCGAGAAAGTCAACGTAGACTCTCTATTCGCAGAAAAAAAGCACAAGGGAGAGAAATAGGGAGGAGAGAGAGAGAGAGAGACAGAGACAGAGACAGAGACAGAGACAGAGACAGACAGACAGACAGACAGACAGACAGAGGGAAGACAGAGGGAGACAGAGAGAGACCTGAGACGAGACGACAATGCGCGTTTGCGTTTTTGAACCCCGCGTAGGGCTGACCTTGTTGCCGTTGTCGAGCCAGATAGCGCGGTCGATGCTAATGAACGGAACACTTTGCCCACCCATCGCCACGCACGGTCGGCGGGGACCCAGGCGGGAGGAAGTACCAAGCTGCGGCTCAAGGGGTGCAGGAAGAGGTGGAGGACATAAGGTCGGAGCTGGTGAAGCTGCTGAGGACTCTCAACACCACAGACGCTGGCATCCTAGGGGCGGAGCACGAGATGCAGAAGAAGGTGCGGGCCGTCCCCATGTTTTTTGCTGGACCCCGCATGCTTTTTTCACCTTTCAACAGCAAAGCGTGCGCACCGCTTTTTTATGTGCCACCCGTTTTTTTTTTTTTTGTGGTGCACTCGTCAGGAGCCCTTGTGTTGTGTCTTAGGAAACCCGGGGGGCAAATAGCGACTGCTGTGGTATTTATCTCGAACCCGAATACTCGCTTTGGTTTTGTGGTATTTTCTATGCTGCTTGTACAATATTAGTATTCTTACCCGCCGTTTCGTGTTCGGAATATTTTGTGCTGTCGGATCTGTTTTCTCTTGGGCCGAGCAAAGGAGCTCGAGCTGGTGCAGCTGCACGCGATCGAGGAGGTGGAGGGGGCGAAGGACAAGCTCACGGACGGGAAAGTCAAGGTGGACTACGCTACTGGCAAGGTACGTCATTCAGTTTTTTGGAGAGTGTACAACGTGCTCACGTGCTGCTGTGCCGTGTGTTGGTTCGGGCTTCGGTCTCATTCTTGTCGCCGTCGCCGTCGCCACACTCTTTTTGTTTGTTGGTCCGTCCAATACGTGTGAACTTGCTGGGTGCGGTGGGTTACCAGCACGCGGGAAGAGTGACATGCCGTACGAAAACACCGGCTTCGGACAGCTTGAGCTCCTTGATTCTTCCACGGAGTTCTTCTCCCGATCTTGTCTCGATGGGATCCCAGTTCCGCGCTTTCTCCAAGTCACACAACCAGCAGGACAGCGATTGTCGCCGCATTTTTCGTTACTTGTGGTGTGAACGGCGCCCAGAACGAATGTAGTCCGAAAAGTATTTACCCGAGCGATATTCCATTTGGTCCTCTGAACAATCTTTCGGGTGGTTTCCACAACGATGTCGTCCGAAAAAGATTTACCGGACCGATTTGCTGTTTTGTCCGGAACAAATCTTTCGGTTCTCGACCGGCAGATCCGATGGGACGAGGAGGACCTCACCGGCGACACGAAGGGGGACAAGATCGGCACCGGGGGCGACGCGGATGGGACGGGGGGCCACGCGACATCCAAGTCGAAGAGCAGGGAGGAAATGCAGAAGTCCAGCGAGTGGAGAAAAGAGGTCGAGATGATGAAGGTTAGTTGAAGTAGTTTCGATCCGGCCTCTCTCTGATTCTGTTGTTTCTTTGTTGGCTCTTATGTCTTCTGCGAGTATTTTTTTTTAGGGTTGAGACCGTATTGCTTCGTCGGCACTTAGGCTATGCGTGTGCATGCCACGATCCTGTGTTAACTGTACCTTGCATCTGTTACTGTCTCAAGTCTACCCATCCGGCTCCCAGTAACAATTTTCGACCTAGTGGCAGCCCTCTTTTTACGGAGCACCCCCTTCCCTGATGTAGGTAGACCACGAGCACGTCCTCGTCTGCCACTCCGGTGTATTGTTTGTTGTTGTCTTTTCTCGTATTCTCCTCGTGTCATCTCCTCTTAGTTCTCGACCCCTGTTCTCCTCTCTGTCCCTGTCCCTGTCTATCTGTCGTTTTGCCCGTGTCTTCGTATGTGTCACCCTCTTGTCGTCTCTTTCATCTCCCCCTCTCGTATCCTCCCTCCCTCCCTCCCTCCCTCCCTCCCTCCCTCCCTCCCTCCCTCTTCCTCGCTTGACGCTCCATCGGCGGCAGGAAGAGTGGGACCCCGCGCTGCTGCACCTAGACGCCACCCTCCTGAGGGACTTCGTGGTCCTGTGCATGAGCGCCGCCCTCGGAGGCGTCCTCGCCGCGGGGGTGGGTCTTCCCGAGACCCTCGGCTACATCGTCGGGGGCATGGTGGTGGGGCCCAGCGGGGTAAACGTGATACGCATGGTGAGAGATGGATGATGTTGTCGGCTGGGGATGTGAGAGGGTGTCTTCAGGGAGTCTGGAGGATTCATGCTGGGGATGTGAGGGTGTCGCCAGGGAGTCTGGATTATATATGTCACGAAGACGGCATGGGTTTGTACAACTTGTAGAGAGGCTGCATGCAGCGCTTGATGGTCTTGGCCGGGGTGATGGCGTGTTCGTGGAAGTCAGGCCTTTGGGTCATGCTTTGGGGTTCTGTGTAGGGTGTGGGACCGTACATGGTGAGTGACGCTGAAACCCCCCCCGTGTTCAGCTCTCGCGGACCCCCCCCCCCCCTCTAATTGCAAATGATTTTGAACGGGGGCCGTTGTGTCCATCGCGGGTTTGCCCGACCGGCAGGTGAAAGAGGTGGAGACGTTCGCTCAGTTCGGCTCCATCTTCCTCCTCTTCGGCCACGGCCTTACGTACTCGACCTTCATGAACACCGGCCGGCCTAGCGCCAACGTCTACGCCCCCCAGGTGCTGCTGTGCCTCCATCTCGTTTGTTTGTCTCCCAGCATTGCATTGTAGCTCCGACGCGGTGGTGTGTCACGTGAATCAGACGCAGTCGGAGGAATAACCGGTAGCGGTAGGACCGCGGAACGAAACGGCAGCTGTTTCGCCGCGTTCTTGTGTGAACGAAGCGTTCGCTGACGCGTGCTTGCGGGTGTTGGTGGAGGTTAGGCCGCGTGGGTAGATCCGAGCGAGCGAACGGCGGCGGCGGGCGTAGCTCCCGTATATCGATCTGACAGGCGGATGCGGCGGAACCACGTTGGAACGCAAGAAGTCGGCGGGTATGACATCGTAAGACCGCACTCAAGCAGCCGTGTGGGCATAGCGGCCGTGACTTCGAGAAGATGGCGCGGTCATTGAAGTTCAAGCAGATGTAAAGCAATCATTCGCAGATCACCCATTCCTAGATCGCTCATTCGGAGATTTACTCAGTGTTAAATTGCTCAATTCTTAGGTTGCGCGTAGTAGAAAATGCGGACGAAGGAGCACCGCGCACGGGGCCTGGCGCGTAGAGTAGAGCAGCAGCGGCAGCAGCGTGCGTATTTGTGTTGGGAATATGTAGTTGAGCGATGCATCGGATCACTCCCTTGTCATCGTAAAAACATTGATCGATACCACCCCTCCCGCCCCTCCTTACCACCCGGTTCACTTGCAATTTCCATCACTCTGACACGGTACGTTCCATGCCCTCTCTTCGCTGTGTGTTTGCCTATGTGTAGGGGCGGATGGGAGCGTTTACAGTGCTGTTCGTGGTGTTCTCTGCCCTCCTGGTGTGCGCAGCCGTGCTCGGAATCGAAGACGGGGTAAGTTTGGCTTTGTGTCGATGGTACGATTTTTGTTGTGCCCTAGTTTGACTGCTTGCTGCTTCGCTCACGTGCTGGATAGATATTCAGCCGAGCCATATCACGGTCCAGAAGAGTTTTCGACCGGCATTTAGCAATGCCACCAGGCCCATGTGCGGCTAGTGCCCAACCGATAGTTAGATAGTCTCCCGTGTTGAAGGTTTGTCCCCATTGTGTAGTAGGCCGACTCGAGGTGTGGACGTTTCCCTTGAAGTTGCATCGAACCTCTAATCCCCCGTTTTTGTTGCGCAATGGTGTCTCGCGTTTTTCGCGGAAATGACGAAAGGTGGAGAGCGTTTTCCTGTCTGCCGCCGCCACGCTGTCGTCCACGGCCATGGTGACCGAGTTCGTCGCTCACAGCCGGCTGGGAGACACGGCCTTCGCCCGCATGGTGGTCGACCTAGTCTCTGTACAAGACCTCGTCATGTAAGGGCTACCCTACCCCTTTCCTATTATGCTTGGCCCTTCTTTCTGCCCCCTCACTAGCGGGAAAAAAAAAATCCGTGTCACACAGCTTGCTCCCTGGGTGTTGGCACCCACAGCAGTTCGTTCACGGAAGCCCCACTTGGGATGATTGATTGGCCATTGGCGATCGGTCCTGTGGGAACAGTGCTACGTCCTCTCGACGACGCGTGGCCAATGTTGTAACGACCACAGGGCAAGCAACACATGAGTACGGGTTCCTTGCGTGGAGTTGACAAACTCTTTGGTGCCGCGTGCTACCTCTATGCGACAAATACCAATGCCGCGTGCAGCCAAAGCGCCGCGGCAGCCTCTCAAGCGATGTCCGCGTCGATGGCAAAGAAACGCCCCCAGCATCGAACATTCAACTCAAAAGATGCTTCGCAGCTTCTTTGCTCGTGGATTGGGGGTGCCGGCTTGTTCACTTTGGTGGCTATGCCTATTTTCTCGCTTCTTGACAAGGAAGGGTTGGTCTGTCCCCTGACACAGCGGTGCTAGCTCCTTTTTTTCTTGCCGATTCTTGTTGTTTTGTGTTGCTTTTGGAAAAGTGGTGTCCCTTGCTGGCGATGGCGTTGATCTGTCCGTTGATTCGGTCTGTTTTTTTTCCCCTCTATTTTGTTTTTTTGCTTTTGGAAAAAAAGCGAAAGTTTGCTGGTGAGTCGAAGTTTTTTAAGATAGCGCTCGTTTTTGTTTCGTTCTGACTCTTTTTTTTTCTTGTTCCTGGAAAAATGGTGTCCGCTGGTTGGTTGGTCCGCTGATGACCCCCCCCCCCCCCCCCCCTTTATCCTGGTTCTTCTTTTGTGTGTTGCTCTTGAAAAAAATAAGGTGTCCGCTGCTGGCGATCCCGACGGCCATCATGTACGCCGTGGAGGAGTCTCAGGGTACCACAGGGTCGTTCGTGCCTCGCATCACCGGGTGCGCGATACTGCTGCTGGCCTTCGTCATCGCCTCGAGGAGGGTGCTGCCGATGGCCATGGCCCGGCTGGTGCTCAAGGACAAGAAGGTGCGACGACGCTCGTCTCGTTTGCGTGTTTGTGGTCGCTCGTGCTGTTTTGGTGTGCTGCAGCATCGTGTCATTGACGACCGTGTTTTTCATTTCGCTTCTTTGTTGCCAGGCGAGGAAAATCTGATTATTATGCCGGTATTCCGGTTGGTTTGTCTCCATGTCGCAACCCCGTCCTTCTTCATTGCATACACGAAAGTTGTCGGTCTCGAGGACAAGGAGCACGAGAGGTGCTCGTGTTCCCTTTCTTTGCCCTCCCTGTCTGTGATTCCTGGTTTAGAGGTGGCTGCACTCTCCGTTTGCCGGAGTTACCATGCGCCGGATCCTTGCTTTCGTTAGAGCATTGGTTGATGTTCCTTCACCTTTTTTTTCGTTTTTTTAGGCGTTTGTGTTGCTGTTGTCGGGTGTGTCGGTTGCTGGTGTCGCTGTGACCGGCTTCGAGGGGCAGCGAACGAATCGGGTGCGCGTCCGGACGGTATTATTCTGCCGTTGAGCACCTCGAGCAGAAAGCCACCTTCTCCCCCCCAATCGAAGCTTGCTTTCCGCACCGACATCTCCTGTCGAATGTCTTCATGCGACCCCTTCCCACCCTGCGAGTCAATGACCCCCCTGGCATTGATGCAAATCGGTACCCCCCTCACTCGAACCGTGTGGCGTGCTGTTCGTAAATCGGTGGCTTGGTTTTGCAGGAGCAATCGTCCGGTCTATTCACCCTGGGGGTGGTGAGCTACTGCCTCGGTGTCGCTCTTGTCTGCGAGCGCCTCAACCTGAGTCACGAGGTACGATACTGTGGGTGGTACGCGATAGATACCACACACCCCTGGGCCGGTTTTCAATGCTCGATATTTCGACATGTCTTGAGAAGAATCGATGACCGCGCCGATTATGCCGACGTTAGAACCTGAGAGGTTTCCGAAAACGTGCCGTTAGGTGTTTGGGATTCACTTCGTCGCGGGGCAATCGGACGGGAGTTGAAAATCGGTGCAGGGGGTGTGGTGTCTTACGCAACGTACGGTGTTGCCAGTCTGTCAACAATTGTCCAGGGCAAAAGTAGTAGTGGCAACGACGCAAGCATTCCCCCCTTTTTTCACACGCAGATGTCTGCGCGGAACAATCTTGAACGGCAACGGACCGCCTGTGCTCGTCCGATGCCCCACAATAACGCTGGAACAGCAGTTCGGTGCTGTCAGGCATTGAATGGATGAAGACTTTGCCTTTGCCGAAGAAGGCGATCACGCTTGCCTGTGTGCCCCGGCTGGGAATCCTGTTCGTTGTGGTGTGTGCGAAGCTCCGTCGCTCTTGTCTCTTGGTCCCTTCTCCCTCATCCTCTCTCTCCCTTCCCCCCTCTCTCCGATTATTTTTGTGTGGTTCTTGCGGCGCGCGCCTTCGATCGACCCATCCTGCATATCGACTATTTTTTATGACGGGAACGGGGGGATCACCATCAACACGACCACCACCACCACCACCACCACCACCACCACCACCACCACCACCACCACAACAACAACAACGACAACGACGACGACGGAATGACGACCCATCACATGATCCAGGCCGGAGCCCTCTTTGCCGGGCTGCTGATGGTCGACTCCCCCTTCGCCCAGAAGGCCCACGCGAGAATGCAGCCGCTGACGAGCCTCTTCGGAGGCATGTACCTCGGCTCTCTCGGCATGATCGTCAACCCGGTGAGTGAGGGAGTGAATTAGGGGATCCAGAGGAAATCTACGAGATCTACGAGATCTACGAGAATGGTCTGGAAGACGACGAACCAACGACAGTTATTATTGTCGACGGAGGGAGCAACGGGCGGGAAGGCGGCGGGAATAAGACAGCGGAGGGGGGTGAAGCTGAACGCGCCTTCGTGTTTTGGCACATGCATGCGGCATTTGGCCATCGCAAGTATTTAGTTCCTTGCGGCCGCGCTGGCTGTTTGGTGTGATCGCACTGGAAACGTTCCGCGTGTTTTGCCGTCGTTCTGGAGAGGGAACAATACGTCAGAACCAGCGAAGCAGGCGTGTCTCCGGCGCATGCACCGGCTGGTGTGATTGGCGGGTTTGATGTTGGTCTTGGACTCAGCGGGCAGGCCGAAACAACGTCGGCGCAGAGAGTCCGATATCGCCCACGTTGTGTCGACTTGCTCTCTGAGTTCAAGACCAACATCTAACCCGCCACAAGATACCAGCCAGCCGGCTGACCTGCGCTGGACCCACGTCATGTTGCGGGTGCCCCCACTCTCAATAAATGAATTCAGCGAAAGGACTCGACTGGCAGCACCGATAAAGGGGGGAGTTGAACATGAGGGACAACGCTTGGCTGTCGGGGGGTCATGCGGGTAGCGGTTCAAATCGCGGCTGCGACCGCACTTGTTGCATGCGTGCCTCGCTTGATTGACCCTTTGCAACGTTGTTGTGGGGAGGCGTGCCCAGCACGGGACTGACGACCGTTGTCTTGAAAAGGGATTTTCCTACTTCATTCAGGACCCCCCCCCCCCCCCCGCCGCCGCCCCCTGGAAACACCCAACACGCCCTCAAGGGGTGGAACTTCCGAAAAGTGCTGGGGTGCGTGGTGATGCTGGTGTTGATAAAACTCCTGATCGTGGCGATGGTCATGAAGTCCTTTGGCCTCCC